CTGCTATAGAGATAGCATTGTGCAAAGCAACTGTAGCTACATTTATTGCTGAACTTTTTTTTTCTCAATGGAACTAAGGTTTTTCTCACAATTGGCCTCATGAAACAAAAGTTCTTTAAATATTGCCTCGCTTTATTTCCAGAACCATAGTGTAAGAAAAGAACACTAGCTATGAAAAGTGTTTTTCAAAATAGGCAAAAAGTTTTTCGCCTATATTGGACAGCTTTGGTTGCCACAAAATGAGTAATATTCTAAGATTATCTAATGCCACCTAAAATAAAAAAAACCTGATTTAAAGACTAAACATAAGCTACAACAGTCAGTATCAGTCGAATGAACGGACATTATAGCCTTTGTTTCCAGATCATGACAAAATAATTAATTATTAAAGTTAATATATATATTACATTCGCTTTAATTTACTCTTCAATCATAATTCATATTCGTATTTATTTTTGTTTTATTATGTGAGTAATAAAGATTTATCTTTTGTGTTATCCATTTTGTAGTCTCTTCTTTTGTCGTCACCACACTTTCACATCACTCAGCCCAACTATATTCTCGGATTTCTCGTTATCTGTGAACTTTAGTTGCCTGTGATTCCGCTAGTCTGTAATCGGAATGTCACAAAAGCAACCCAGTAAGAAGGTACACAGAAGGAAAAGTAGCTGTAATATAGAATTTAATTTTTCTCGATCTAACATTAAATTTTCATATCATTACTTAACCTTCTACATGTGATTACATTGAAAAATGGAAAATTGTTGGCTATAGTATTGCATAATACATACAAATAATATATATTCAACATTATAGAAAAACTTCACTAGTACAACAACAAAGACTTCTAATAATAACCCCTTAATTAACTAAATGTAAATTGCTGAAGAATTCTACGTTTTAAAGAGAACAAACAGTTCCTTTGTTGTTGTTTTTTGCAGGTCTGTCTTCTTTCGTCAAACTACTCTACAAGATGAGATCAAATTTTAAACATAAGTTGTGTTTGTTTTAAATTTCGCGCAAAGCTACACGAAGGCTATCTGCGTTAGTCGTCCCTAATTTAGCAGTGTAAGACTAGAGGGAAGGCAGCTAGTCATCACCACCCACCACCAACTCTTGGGCTACTCTTTTACCAACGAATAGTGGGATTGACCGTCACATTATAACGCCCCCACGGCTGAAAGGGCGAGCATGTTTGGTGTGACGGGGATTCGAACCCGCGACCCTCAGATTGCGAGTCGAGCGCCCTAAGCACCTGGCCATGCCGGGCTTAAACATAAGTATACCGCAAGTTAGATAATGTAAACATTAGTTTTATCTATAATATGTCCAACAAAACCTAAAATGATCGTCATTTTTATCGTAATATCTTATATCTGTTCAGTAACAAAGTATGATTTTTCTCCAAACAAACTTATTACTCGATGAGAAATTATTGTGCTGCATAAATCTGTATATTTCATACTGTTCTTTATTAGATGGTCAAGTTATAGTGTAATATATGTTTTGATATATCGTCAAGCTGTGTTTCAACACTCTATATCAGTGTCTTAAAATGTTTACAACATAGGATATATCACTGGGGGTAATGTAGAAAAGTATGGTAGTTCTGCATCTGTTAGTTTACAGATGGCTTATGAAACTTTTATACAACAAATTATGAATTTTGAATAAAACAGCATGACGAATAAAAGGCACTAGCTATATATTCTTGGTTTGCTTTCCCATGCTATGCTGATGAGCTAAGGACAGGCGAAACTGCACTCTACAGCAGAGGGTACAGCTAATTAAAGAATGCATTAGGTCTCTACATCACGGATGATATTTTCAGTTTTACCTTTGATGAAAAATAAAAGAAATATGTAACGTATACATGTATATAATTATGCAGCTGGTCTGCTGCATAATTACGAATAATAAATTAGGCGCAATGCCATAATATTATTCACACACCTAAATTAATTTAGATTACTGTATGGTGAATTTCAAAGGACTCAAAACCCCATAAATCTCATGACAGATCATGTTTTTTTTATCTAATTGCAGAAGAATAACACAAAAAGATTTCATAGTTATAGACATGTATTATATGTGAGTTAATATATATTATTGTTCAGTTATAGAAGGATACAATCTAAGTTTTCAAATACAAATCTAAGTAATGTTAATTGAAAATACTTAATTTTATATAGAGTTTATTATCTTATAAGTCTTCTTCCATCCAGTGTAAGATGCAAAACTCTCGTATTGAATATGTTAAGAAAGTGGAACTTCATATGCAATTAGCTTATTTGTTGAACTATTACAGTGAAAAAAAAATGACACGGGAGCTCAAAACATACATTTTAAGCAGTTAAAAGTAGCTTCGCAGTACTATGTTACTCTGACAAGACTGACCGAAGTTTGTGAATAATAAACGCGTTTATTTTATTCTTAAATATGGCTCATTATAAATTATCTGATTGGTGTTTAGATTATTTTAAAGTAGGCTTCACTGCCGAAAAACTACTTTTAATTGTGTAAAATAGTGCACATATCTTCATATTTAATGTAACATATCTCTGATTATTAAAAATATAGAAAAAGTAATGATATTTATATTTCATAAAAAAATAATACATCGTGAATTTCTCTTACTATCTTGAATTACATAATCAGATCAGTTTTAAACAAACCCTTATTTTGTAAAGTAACTCTAGTTTTGTGATGTCTTTAAAGGTTATTTATTTTATGTTAAATTTAATTTCTTGTTACCTTACTTACATGGATACACTTGGTGTTAAAACATAACAAATAAACTGGTGATTTTGATCAATTACCTTGTTAAATTCATTGTGCATCTTCTAAGAAACATTTAGCTTCTTTAGATTCTGCTTTCTTCTTATATGAAAAGCACATAAAATAATACTATCTATATAATTATATATATATAATGTAAAGTAACTATTTTATACTAGGACTACGTTTTTTGTTATTTCTTTTTAAACGTGAAGGGTATTAACCTACGTTGTAATTGCATAGTAGGAACTATTCGCTGGTCTTGTATGTACTGGTCAGGTAACGTAGAGGAATTAATGTTTATACCTTTGATGTAGTTAAATTCAGCTACACGTGGAATCTTCTACGGGCTGTGACTTGTATAAATAGACAGAAGTGTGTTACTTGTTTCAGAGTTCTGTAAATACTGTAGTATGTTTAATAATAAAAAAAAGATGCATAGTCATCTGAGCTTCAACTATAAGTTATTAGGGCATTCACATCTCCAACATATTTGCTTGCTGTTATTTCCAATAGATTTCTTTAAGAAGCTTATATGAATTTTCAAGTCGATTATACTTAGTGCGGCTTTCATCTTTTGCTGCAACTTAAATCACTCTTTTCACTCAGCGTAAATGCAGGATTATTCTGTATTAATGGACTTTCCCATATCATTATTAAGTAACAAAATTATTACCTTCTAAGTAAGGATGACTAACTGGATTTTAAAGGTAGTTTATTATAATGTAATCAACATGGTTAATAGAAAAACATTTGAACTAAAGGATGTACCTTACAGTTAAAAGAAAGAAAGAAAAAGATTGAAACTGTAAAACTAAATATTGTTAGTCTATTGTAGGTTTCAGTGGCCTTTTTATATATAGTTAAGTTTCTGAGTAACAGATCTTCAGATCTTACAAAATACTTCCATATCTGATCACCTTCACTAAATCACTAGGCAAAGAATTTCAAAATCATATAATGCTACATAAATTATTTGTAATTTGATGTGTTATTCATTTTTGTTTAATTTTATAGGATCAGGTTCTCTATGGTTTGGAAAATTTCAATAGTATTAGAAGTAAAATTAGTCATTTTTATTTTTTTATATCTATTCCAAGGAATATTTCCTTCCCACTTTGAAATAATTAAAAAAAAAGAAACTACTATAGATAAAACACAAGTTTACTAGTAACTTCAATGGATATCCCCTAAAATTATCTCCAGAATATTTTCTAAAATAAGAGAGTAGTTGACTTTAAACACTATTTTGTGATAGTCCTTATCATGAATTACAGATTTTTCACCAAGTGTCTAACAAAAGCAAACAATTTACTGTTCTGAAATTCTTTAAAAGTTAGACCATTCACATATAGTTTTGCTGTAAATTGTAGTTACAATTAACAACAAAAAATAGCTTCTCCTCCACTCATTGTCTTATTAATTTGAAGGTTTGAAAATATAATTAATTAGCACAAAACGTATAAGAAAGTGACTAACCAGTCATGTAACTGACCACAATAATATAAAATGTTTGTTTCAGACATTTTAGCTGCATATTCTTTGGAGAAAAATAACATATCTATATTAGATTTAGGGCAATGTTTTCTACTGATCAGAATAATGAAAGTTTATAGAATCTGTCTTATTATATCACAGTAGTTTGCTTGTTTTGAATTTTGCGAAAAGCTACACGAGGGCTATCTGCGCTAGCTGTCCCTAATTTAGCAGTGTAAGACTAGAGGGAAGGCAGCTAGTCATCACCACCACCACCAACTCTTGGGCTACTCTTTTACCAACGAATAGTGGGATTGATTGTCACATTATAACACCACCACAGCTGAAAGGACGAGCATGTTTGGATGAACAGAGATTCGAACCCGCCACCAGCAGATTGCGAGTCGAGTGCCCTAACCACCTGACCATGCCAGACCAGAGAGAGTAGTGAGAGCTTCACTAAATTTGAGACAATCAGGTGTTCTTGCCATTCTGATTAGTAATACTTATACAAGCTTCTTAGTTTTATGTACTTGATTATATTGCCCAAAAATACAAATTGTATAAGTTGCTTTTGGTAATAAAAGAATATAGTAAGGTGATTTCTATAATATTATGAATACAGTATTCATGAATTGTCTCATTTCTCAGCCAGTTACAAAATTATGGAATCAGTTATTTTATATTTGTTTGCTTTGTTTTTTTTATTAACATGATTTGAACCAAGTTATAGGTACTACAACTTCTAAATCACTATACATATTTTTATTTTACTTCTATAATATTATGAATACAGTATTCATGAATTGTCTCGTTTCTCAGCCAGTTATAAAATTATGGAATCAGTTATTTTATATTTGTTTGCTTTGTTTCTTTTATTAACATGATTTGAACCAAGTTATAGGTACTACAACTTCTAAATCACTATACATATTTTTATTTTACTTCGATCAAAACTGTACATTTAATGCCCTCAAAACTAACCAATGTCTGGTACCTGCATCACTTGATGTCTTAAATCAGCCCAATTCCCTTCAATCCATTGCATAGAAGTATGAACATTATTAGAAGTTTTGTCTTTTAAAACAGTAAACTTAAGAAATATGTGTTTCAAGTTACATATTGAAAAACATATACCTCAAAAATAAATACCATTTTATTACTTATGTTCATAAATAATGCCAGATGAATCCAGAAAAACTTTATAGAATTAGCAAGTTTTAATTTATCAACTGTTAAACTGAGAGTTCATAAGAAATTATAAATATTAAGCTCCAACTCAAAATTTTCTTTAAAATATTTAACAGATAAAACAAGATAGGAGAACCTTTTCTCCTTCCTTAGACAATGGATATCTGTAATGCACTGTATTAAATTCTACTGAGATCTAAACACAGGTTACCATATAAGGGGAGGTTCACTGTAGCTTTCTTCTACCATTTATTAAACTCACAGTTCTAGAATTACTATGTTTAGGATATCAACAATTTTAACGATAAGTTTTTCAAATATCACATTCATTCAGTTCTAACAAACAGTTTTCTTTTTATTTAACTTTATCATTATTATATGCTACCAAGGTAACAATTAATACTCAACAGATTTTTACTATAGTCTCATTACCTAGTTAATGTATAAGCATCAAACCAGTGTTTTGTACTTATTCCTACAATAGAAACAGGAATTTAACTCAGTGTAAACAATTGAACAAATCTGACTTATATGAAGATCACACATGTTAATAGTAATCTACAACTTACCTTGAGATACCTCTAAGTTGCTATATAGGAAAATGTCAACAATACAGTTTTAGTCAAATCATTTTGATTTCTTTTTACTTTCTCTATTTTTGATTTTATTTATTACAAACAAAAAATTATACTTTAATTGCACTAACACAAGCAGTTGCACAACTATGTTGTTTGCAGTGAAAATAAGTTAACAGCTGGTGACAAGAATTCATAAAGGTAATACACCATCCATTCTATTTTATTTAATCAAATTTATAAACATTATTCGAAAAAACTGTAGTATTTTATGGCTCAGAAACAGCAAAAGTCTCAATTTTCTATAAATTTTGTAAAAAGTTTCTTCCTTCTAAATACATTTTTCACTTGTCATTATAAAAACATTTATTGAAGTTATAATTTTTCTTTTCTTGTATAATTTACTAGAAAAAAAGGAAAACAATTTCATTTGTCAACTGTCATACTTTTTTCTTGTAGATCATGTAGAATTAACAAACTAGTAGATAACATAGAGCTACCTGTGCATTATCTTTGTGGTTTATTTTGAAAAGTTGTAAGTATTTAATTGAATTTGTTAGTTACCAAGAGAAGACTTAAAACACACTATTTAAATATTAAACACATTTTTCACTAAAAGAAATAATACCATGATGTTCTTTAAGTTTTGGACAGGGATGCTCAAATTGGCAAGAAAATAAAAATTCTGCGGAATATATATGCACCTTTGGTCCTTGGTCATTCATATTTTATCTACAGTGTTACTGAATACCTGGGAATGCTTAGGAACTATATAATTACATGACAGTGATATATGCTAAACAGACACTATCATTCTAGACTTGATTATCAGAGCAATTTATAGTTGTCTGTTGCTCTGAAGATATTAAGAGCTTGGTCCATGTGATTAATACAAAACTGTTTGCTACTATCCTTGTTAAGATATAAACTTGTAGTCATAAGGTAAAATACACCAAAGAAACAGAAAGTTCCCCAGTATGGTAGGTTTATCACACATTAGTTTCCAAAATGAAGAAACACTTGTTACAATAATACAAGCAAAAGTCACAAACTCCACTTAATCAACAAAGACTGTGGAGATTTTATAATTTCAACACAAGACTGGCTATTTTTACAATGGTTCTAAGAAGAAGAAACTGTCACTTGGTTTTTCTACATCAAACACAAGTTCTGGAACCCTTGCTTCATCATTACAGTTGTCAAAAGAGGCTCTTCCCTTACGAAAGGACAATCTAAACCATGGATGTTCAAGTACTTCTTCAACTGTTATTCTTTCTGCAGGGTCTTTTCTTAACAAGTTCCGAATAAGACACTTTGCCTGAGATGAAAGACTATCTGGAATTGTAAACTTTCCTCTGCGAATCTTTCCTATGAGTGAGGTATGGTTACTGTCATGGAAAGGATACCGCCCAACCAGCAGTGTGTAAAGCATCACTCCTAGGCTCCAACAGTCTGCTGCTTTCCCAGAGTAGCTTTCTGTTGGTGTTAAAATCTCAGGACTCACATAAGCTGGGCAACCATGCCTGTCACTGAGCTGATCACTGGAACCTTCATCCAACACTACAGCATCATCTAATGTCTCCAACTTCAGTTGAGTTCTATGCAAAACCAAAATACAAAAATAAGTAACTTTCACTTTTACAATTTCATGTTTTTAATTAATCTATGACAGCGTTTACCAAGTTATTATAAATAGTACAAGATGAAACAGTTATGACTTCATATCCATTTCAGACTAGCAATAAATAAATTTATATAAAATACGCATATAAAATTGAATTAATACCATCTCTGATATACTCTTTTAAAATCCAGTTCATCTCGACATATTTTAATTTTCATACTCAATCTTGTGTTTCAATGATTCTTATACCATATTATTTCCAGTCAGTCATGGAAAAATTTACTTGTTATGGATAGACAGACATTTCAAAAGATCTGTTATAATGATTCTGAATGAACATTTTGTATTGTATTATATTATACTCACATATGCACATTTTTGATATGACTTATAACATTATAAATGGGTTTATATAAGAATTTTACATTTTATTTTAGTTTTGAAAATTAATATTTTACAATATTATCATCATTACATGGTTTGATATTAATATTTAACCTGGATGTTTTTAATGATATATTGTATTTTCTTACTGCAGAAAAATAAAAGCACATTGTAAGAACATTCTTGAACCTAAGTTCTTAATGTCCTTGTGTAGACACGTGTTCAGCATAAGAATGCCAGTTAAAATATCCTATTATAAAACCTGACAAGCAAGCAAAAGTTGTGACTTAACATGTGATTATACAAGCTTAGAATAAATACTCTTGGTCATGAAACTGTGTATTGTTACAAAGAGGCATTTAAAGTTTTTCAAAAAGCTCAACTAGAAAAGTAAACATGACTACAGTGAGTATTGCAAATGAAGTGTTTTTTTTGTTTTGTTGAATTTCACTAAAGAGTTTCTCGAGGGCATAATGTCGAAATGTTAAATTAAAAAAAAGGCAGTTAGTCAACACTACCCACTGCCAACATTTGGGACTTACTGTCACACTGTAATGCCCCCACGGTTGAAAATGCGAGCCTAACATATTGTTCGCCATTCTATAGAAAAGTACATGGAATAAATGTCCAGGTTATAGTTTGCAGTTGCAATAAACATCATGGTAGGTAGTAAACAAACTGCTGATTTCATCACATCTAACATACACAGATGAATGAGAGTGCTGCAATTAACTTTTGTTTGACATATATGACATTATAAACATGCAAGTCATCGAGATTTCATATCACTTTACTTTCAGGAACATAAATTAATTGCCCTCCAGTGGCACAGTGGTATGTCTGCAGACTTACAACACTAGAAATCAGGTTTCATACTGATGATGGGCAGAACACAGATAGTCCATTGTGCAACTTTGTGCTTAACTATAAACAAACATAAATTAATTGGTATACAGGAGAACTTTGGTTTATAAAACCAATTTTCTATTGTTAACACTTAGGAGTAGCTGTATGCACTTTTAGTAGTTCTTTCCCATGCATATTTGAACTTTTTTTTTTTAGATTATCTGTAAAATTACATCCTTTGTAGTCACAAAACCAGTAAAAAAATAGTAAAGAAGAGAAAAAACAGAAACGTTTAAGGATTATAGTGTTTAGTTATATATATAATAGATATACATATATATCTAATTTTTATGACAGTATTCCACTTAAGAATTTGTAATTCTAGTGAAAAACAACAAAGCTGAATGAATTATTTAAAGGAATGCTTAAAAAAGTGTTGTGCCATTTAAAAATTATAAACCTTTGCCTTTCATGACACTAAACATTCGATTTCATACAAAATTAATAAAATTGCGCTTCAGATTTATGATGTGCAATCATGAATAATTTTTATTTGTCAACTTGGAGTAGCGCAGTAGCTAGCATGCTGGAATGTGAATCTGATCTACATAACTTGTCTTTTGAATTTTATAAGCTTTCTTGTAGTGAGGACGTGCTTCCACTACTACTTAAATAGGTCATCACAAATCATACTATTAAAAGGGGTGTACTTTTCTATTTAAGAAATATTCACATGTGCATTATAACCCCGCAATAGTATTACCACCCAATCTCTATTATTATAACTTATAACTATACAGTAACATATGTGCACGTGTCTTGAAATCGTCACGGAAAAAGTTATACATTTCAAAATGGAGATACAGAGTATTTATATGTTAAAATGAGGACATTAAAATATTTTTCCTCCGAGATGTCGTTCTTACTTTCTTCGCGCGGAGTTACAAAATATGCTATCTATGCTAACACTAAAGCTTCCTCTTTCAGATCAACAAAAGTTAGGCGCAACTTTTCTGAACCACCCATGGTAGATATACATAAATAAAATTACAAATAACATAAAATAAATGGTTAAAAAGTTTATGGGTATATACACTCATACATTTTCTTGTATATTTGGTTCCTTGAACTTCTTAAAATATTCAGCCAAAACTAGGTCAATCCTGCTATCCCACTTTAGTGACCTAATTCCCCTGTACGTTGCATCATACTTAACAAACAGTCTCATTCAGGTTTTCAAACTGAAATTTTTAAAGGCTTATTACATGTAGAAAGATGATAAATTATTAGAAGTAGGAAAAAATATATAAAAATGTGAAAGAACAATAGCTACTTTGGAAGATTAAGTACTGAAACATTTTATCACCTGATGGTAATAGCTTCTTGCAAAAAACAAAAGAAAAACGAAATGATAATTAACAAAAAAAAACATCAAAACATGTTACCTCTCATTATCTTTAAAAACAAACTTTCGAAGCTTGAGGTCTCGTAAAACCACACCAGCTTCGTGGCACGCCTGGACAGCTTTCACTACTTGATTAAAAAGAGGTATAGCTTCTTGTTCCTTCAGACGACGTTTAGATCGCACGTAAGAGTGCAAGTCCTCGAATGAACGTGAGAAAAATATGTATGTCCGATTTAGGCCTACTAAAATTTCCTCTATTTGATTTATTTGTGGATGGCCATCTAACCGGAAATATCCGGCTACGTATTTTTCATACTTGTCTCTAGAAATTATCTGTAAAAGAAGTAATTACAAAAATTCAATTTACATTTCGATATAGAGTCCAAACTCACAGTGTACACGATACGATCAGTAAACCAATAATGCCTTGTTTTTCTTAAAAGTTAAATATATAAAAATTTATTTCGTTCGGTGTGACTCGGAGAAGTATACGTAATTTTTTTTACAACAAACGTATTATTTCGGAAATAAAAATATTCCAATAATGTGAAATTGTACCTAACAGATTCCGTTACTTTATTAAGTATTTGTATGAGTAAATAAAAATCAATCTTTATTATCTAATATATGTGTGTGTATCAAATATCGTGTTTACCAGTACCATTATAATTTAAACATTTTCCGCTAAATCAAAGTACTATGAATATCGCAAATGAAAAACGTAGTCAACACACTTTAGCATACAAAAAATGTAGTATACTACAATATCTCAAGATGATCTGATTGTGTAATTTGCTCAGCTTATCATAAATGCACAAAGTGAACATGTGTTTAATGTTTTTTTTTTGTATTAACAGTTCAAATATAATAACCTATATACCTATTGATGATAATTTTTAATGAAATTTTCCCTGGAAAACTGTAATCTCCTTAGCTACATCAAATTCAATTTGAAGAATTACTAGCGAAGGTTAAAGTGCCAAAAGTTTGCCTTACGTTGTTAAATACCAGACAATCAATTAACCTTTAATATTTCCCTTTACCCAAAATTCCTAAGGCTACCAAGAAAATTGACAAAGAGTTGTGATGTCGAATTTATTTGAAGTCTTTCCTATTAGGTGAACTTTAAACATATTAATCAAACAGGATTTCCCCATACTCATTTCGAGCAATCTGTTTCAACCAGTATCTGTAAGCTTTCTAAAGCATTTCACCAAAATAAAAACGATAATTACCAACATGATGAAAAAAAAAACTACCACTACTCCATAAATGAAGGTCTCTAATGCTTTTTCCCGAACATGTATTGTATCCTAAAAGTTGAGATCTATGGGTTTCATCAAACGTTATCATTCGTGTTATTTTAACCACAAGTATTAACGAAAGCAGTGACATAACTACAAAGTCCCGCCCCCCCCCCCACACGTAAAAAAAGTAATTTATTTACCTATAATTGTATTTAAGATTCTGGCCCCATTTTGGCTTCCCCACCCACAATTGTAGGGGTATACTTACGCCAATGAACGGAAGTAAATATTTAACACATTACCAAGTAAAATTCTAAAAAACATCCGTAAAACTACTTTACAAACGTAGCAGTAATAGATTTAATAAGGAAAATTTAGCCGCGACTCACTCTATACAAAACAAAATCTGATGAATATGATTTTACCAACAAGAAATTCCCCTACTGGCGTAATAGTTAACAAGAACTCTTACTTGAATTCTTGGACTTTGATAGTGATTCATGATTAGAACTTTAAAACAATCATAGATACTCAGTTGTTTCATATATATTTACTTTTGTTGTCAGAATGATTTCAGTAGCTAATGTACAAGATATTCTTATAATTGACATATCATTACTCAACAGACCCTTTAGTTTTCGTTTGATTAGTCAATATCGCTCGGTTGCGATATGATCAAAACTACTTTTCCATGCTGAGTATTTTATTAGTAAAAAAAGAAATGTGAACACTGATACTTATGCTAAAAGAGAGATCGCCTAACAATTGAGTATACGCTGCTCAAAATACAGTGGAAAAACACTATGGTAAGAATCTACCACGTAATATATTCATTTGTCATTTGGTTTATATGGTGCAATTCAGGATTCGATTCCTGTGGTAGGCACAGCATAAACAGGACATTGTGCGACTTTGCGCATAACAACAAAGTTTAAAATCTAATTAGAGCTGCATGAATATAAATACGTATGTAATTTTCTCGTGGATTTCATGCAATCTTACAATCTAGTAGATTAGCCCAGTTTATTTTTTACATTTTTTAATAACACACTTATCCTGTCCAACTAAGATCGAATAACTAAACAGTTCTAGTTCATCTGACCAGTTTTGTTTGGAAAAAAAAATGTGTATTAAATGTACTGGTCTTAAACAAACGAAATTAAAATATGCGTAACTTACATACCATCACAATCTGAAGTCTTTAAGAGTAAAGAATGAAAATTAGCTTTTTTTCTACACGATCTAAATTGTTAAAATCTTGTACCGGTAAAAAATTAAAACGTCTGTCACTACATTTTTTCAATTATATATGTATATAAATATATCCACATCTACCTATAGTTTCATAAATTTAACAACTTTATATTTATTGTAATGCCATGATCGCAAATCTTTATTTTAACTTACAAAATAAAAAAAAATTAGCTAATGAACAAAAAATTGATTCTTGAATGAGCGAGAGAATACCTCATTTATAATTATAGTGTCATAGTACTATAAAATCGAATCAAACTACTTTACGACACTAAAGGAATCATTTAGCATTTATCCCGTGATTTCTAGTGTTACATCAAATGCTCGACAGTTCATGAAATGTTGGAAGCGTTGCGTCATATCTTAAATGCTGGGGGATTTTATCTACAGGTTCCTCGCCAATCTCAGAAATTGTGATATATTTTAGGTATTACTTACTGTTAACAAAGCTATAACAAGGTGTGACGGATTTATTATCATATATTTATTCTACTACCAACGTTTGTTTAGCTTAAATTTACATTTAGAAACATACATAG